GCAGTACTATCTGTATACTACTGATCGCTATTTGTTCAAACATCAAAGCAAGGGTTGTTTAAATCAATATAAATCTTCACCTTTAACTGTTATCGATACTACACAATGTAATTAATTATCCACTGACCTGTATTTTATGTGTTGAAATCATATGTACTTTATGAAATGATGGTTTTTTTTGTTTTTTTTTTGTTTTTTTTTTAGTTGACAATGAAAATCCAGAACTTGTGTATTGCCCCAATGATATTGTTCAAACTATCTTGTCATCGTCTGGTGCAACTACTGCTACCGTCTCATGGACTGTTCCTATATTTACTGACAACTCTGGAACGCCAACAGTAATGGCGTCAATATCACCAGGTTCAACGTTTACAAGTGGAAACACAGTTGTTGTATACACTGCATCAGATAGCTATGGAAATGTGAATTCGGAATGTACTTTCACAGTTACTGTAAATGGTACGTACTGACTCAAAATTGAATTGAAATGTATAAAAAAATATGACGTTTGATAATGAGATAAATTTTTAATTGAGTATTTTAGAGTATTTTATTCAACAAGTGTTGAATTGCAAATTGTCCATTTAATGATTAAATGGTGTAATGTATTTATTGGAGGGGTGGGTAATCCAGTCTCGTTACTCATGTTGACACTTAAATGTCCAGTGTCAATTAAAATGAGCACCCTCACAGGATAATAAATGTGCTGCTTATTCATTCTCGCAAATAAAAAGAAATCATTATGGATAATGATGAATATAAAAGAAATGACAGCAGCACTTTTGAGATTAACAATACATGATTTATTTCCAGATTTTTATTCATCATGGATATGGAATTGAATAATTGAATTTAACTTTGATTTAAAAAAAAAATTATGCTATCTATTATGTTTGAAATTTGTTAAAATAAGGTTAGTTTTAAAATATTTTACCAAATCAGCAATGGTGTTAAAGCCTTCAATCATTTATTTGAAATTAAAATAAATCTTATTATTATTAATAGGCCTGTTAGTGTCATTATTATTAATAATAATATAATTATTGTAATGATGATATGATGATGATAATGATGATGATAATAACGTTAGTAATAATATTCTTATTTTTGCGTTAATTCTTTTATTAAGTGGATGATCCGCCGGTGTTCACGTCCTGCCCAAGTAATCAAGTACTAGAAACAGATGCTGGTGTTGCAACAACGACAGCAACTTGGACAACTCCAACAGCTCAAGATGCTATAGATGGCGCTATAACGCCACTGTCAGACATTAGTTCAGGATCGTCATTTTCAATTGGAACTACTGAAGTGGTATACACTGCTGTGGATATGTCTGCCAACTCAGCTACTTGCGAATTTTCTATAACCGTTAACGGTTTGTGTTAAAGTTTAATACGTTCTTATGAATTTATATTATTGTTGAGAATGAATTGTATGATGAGGGGGAACTTCCCGTCGTTCCAATCAATATTTTTTTATGTACCCCCATTGATATACTGTATGT